TTAGCCAATCACAGGCCTGAATCAATTCGATTTCTCCAGAGCTATGTCCACCCTTAACCTGCGAACGGGCATGCTCGGGGAACGAGATTGTTCCTGTCCCCTTTCTGTCCCCTTTCTATCCCCCAATGTATTCCAATAGCTCGCCCCAAGCTCACAATTTTTTGCGCGTTCTTTTTGCATTTCTCTGTTGCTTCAAACATCAAAATGGTATGTTTTGAAAAAAATACGAGTAGAATTTCTTTAATTTCTCATCAATCCGACTTCGAATTAAGATTTCAAACACGAATCACTATAGCCTATATAAAACGTTATGCAACTTATACCGTTATTTAATTATTTAATGATAACTTGTTTTTAAACCCGAAAAAGTCCGCAGTTATAAATTGGGCCAATTGACTCTAGTGAAGATATTAATTTGCTGTTGATGTCCAAATGGTGTTCTCGTAGTCTTAAAATTTGTCTAAAGTCGGGGATATTATGTATATGAACAGGCTAAGTCGCCAAGTATATGTGTATAGAGATCCAGATTTCACTGCATCTATATTATAACAGACATCCCAACAATCCAACTACTGGAGGTAAAATTTAGGGAGACTGTTCAATGAATTGAAATCTAGTTCTTCTGGGAAAAAATAATAGAAATTAAGTCTTCTGAAATGACGTTTCCTGCATTTTGGGACTATGTTGTTATAAATGATCCTATAAATTGCCATAAAGTAACTTCAAAAAAGGTCCGAGACAGACTATTATGTTGCTAAAAACAGTATATTTATAATTTTTTTATGATATTTCCTGAATATTCTGAAAAATGGGGAGAATTTGATAAAAATCGGGAGACCGGGAGATTGCATGAACTTTCGGGAGACTCCCGGTAAAATCGGGAGAGTTGGAATGTCTGTTATAAATAGAATTTACATGTATATGACTAGTATCAAATATAGTAATTCATTCATATATCAATAATTTTTAATACTAGTATCGAGAAAGGTTCTTGGTAATGTATTTTAGCAGCCTCGTACGGAGTCGTACCCAGGCGCTTTGATTGGCTTTGACACTACGCACCTTGATTCCTGCGCGTGCGCCACACAACCAGTTACACGGCTAAAAACGCACAGGTTGTTCCAAGTTGATATTGACAGGCGTGAACAATGTTGTTTGTTCCAAGTTGATATCGACAGGCGTGAACAATGTTGTGCGGCCAACTATGAACAAGTTGTCAACCATGTTCTTCCAAGTTGTTACAGTTGAAAATGCTGTAACAACATGTTGATAATACTGTTCATTGTGGGCCGCACAACCTTGTTCACGCCTGTTGATATCAACCTGGAACAAATTGTTGATTTTCTCAATTTTTACGCATGTAGCACATCAAAGCACCTGGGACGAGGCTGGTATTTTAGGCAGTTTGGTAAGATTTACGAATGTTTCGGTGCAAAGAGTATGATAAAATCGTGCATATTAGGATGGCTAGCAGTGACTGAGAAATACATTTCGTTGAATCATCCTGCAATTGTGAACCATGTTGGACCATGATTTGACTGCAATTGCTATGTCTGTCACTAGCACAAAGTTGGTGACCGTTGACAAAGAGATTTCTATCCTGCTTTGCGGAATTGTTCCTGAGGAAAGAGATTGCCCTATGTTACTACCTTACGTTTTAGTCTAACACCACAGAGCTCTGGGTTAAGCCTTCGTCAAACGACGTTGACGGTAACAACTCTCGCTTGCGTTTGACTACCAACTCTCATTGACTCTCATTAACTTTTGGTTCAAATTTTGATGGGTATTTTTGCTACGTGCTTGGTAATATCCAGTCAACTCTCATCGACACTCATGCAACTCTTGTTCTCGTTTGATCGAGACATGAGAGTTGAGAAAACTCTAGTGCAAACTCTTGGGGTCATCATCTACCTACACTATCCAGGCCCGTGGTTGGTTGATTATAACAACGAAAGAACGAGTCACGAACAATAATCATTTTTGTTTCTGAAGGCCAATCACAAAACATGATCATTTTAGGTAGGTCTTTACCTAACTCTTGCTTCTCAACTCTCATCAACACTCACTTTCATTTGACCAGGGCTTTAATCTAGAGCTTGAAATGTCCCCTGTAACAATGCATAACAGCAAACTCTCATCAACTCTCACCTTGTTTGACTGGTGCATAAGTTCCAAATCTGCTATAATTAAATATTTGGGATGAAACATTTCTGTGTAAACTACACATGAACCCAGTGAGTACCAGTGCTCTCCCCTTAACAAGTAAAATTGTACACTGTTAGACAGAGCAAGATAGTAAAGTAGGGTTGAATGAGGTCTGCGAAGCAGGACGAAATCTATTTGTTAACTGTCCCTTATTGACAATACTCTTCCCTTATTGTCAATACTGGTCATACCAGTTTGGGCATGCCCTACAGGTGTCTATAGCATGACAGTTGTTTGTCCGTGTTCATGCTCGTACTGGCCATGAAAGCCGCTACATTGGGTCATTCCAGAAAACATTCATACCTCCACAAAGGAAATTGGAAGTCAACCTTCCTACCCCCTTCAAATTTCCTAATACACTTACTATTATCACAAACTCGACTTTTCTGCCCTTCCTTTCTGGACAATACAAATTTCCTTCTTGGGGGGAGTGTGGATCTTTTGTGGAATGACCCATTCAAATTTCTTAGCATGGTCTGCATGACTCGCATGGCTCAAATAAATTGCTGGAAAACAGTTTATTTGTGATATGCATGATGATATCTCGCAATTGTTAATTTTTTAATGGGCCTTTTATTTAAGAGTGAAAACACACTGACCATCAGGACAGAAAAGTTTTTAACCAACCGCCTGCTTCAATGCAAGCCAATGGTATGTGTCTATGTTCTTTATAAATATTTTGTATCATTTGCATATAGTGTTTGTACTTCATGAACAAGCTTTCGTTAGTAGGAATACAACTGAAAAATAAAAGGAGAATTTCGACGTCTCGAGCGAAGCCCCTTCGTCTAGAGTTACTTCATTGTACTTGATAACTTTGTACTTCGTGAACTTGCTAATCATTTTTAGTATTAGAAAGAGTTATCTCAAGTAAAATATGGTAGACACCTCCACTTTTTTAATTTTACAAATCATTTTTGAATCCGAAAAGAAGGCCTAAACTAGAGTGAGGTGGTTCAGGGTAAAAACCGAAAACCGCGTCTAAAAAAACCCGAAAAAATTATTTTTGTAACTTGTGTCAAAATATACTACTGCTGGATTAAACTTACGTTACACATTCAAAACTTTACTGTCTTTAGTTTAAAAATGGTATTGTAGTAGTACTGCCTAAATATTTAAGCGGTAAGCCACTGTTAAGTGTGCTATTTTCTTACTTTTTAAAAATGTTCGACCATGCACCATTTTTTTCAATAGTATAGTAATATAGAGGTTCAGATTTGACTCCCACTTCCGCTCACTGGCTTAGTACGCATCTGATTGGTTAATCAGATAGTTCAAATGCATCTGATTGGTTAATCAGATAGTTCAAATGCAACTGATTGGTTAATCAGATAATTAAACGCATTTCAGTTCAACTCAGTTTACTGAGTTTCAAACTGTTTTTTCCGATTTTTTTTCGCCTAGAACCTCAAAAATATAATTAATTGTTTTCGGGTTTATCGCATCACCGTAGCAAGCCTGAAACTTGTATAAACAATATTCGGCATCCGGGTACTGCATAATGAGATTATCTCACTATTTTGCCCGGATATGATCTCTATTGCACCCCTAGTAACAATTTATTCTTTACAGATTGTAGATCCACCCAGGACGGGCTAACGTGCCAAAAACGGAACTTTGCGAGAAACTCGCGAAAATGTACAAGACAACAGCTGACGGAATCTTCAGCTTTGGGTTTAAAAACCCAATTGTAAAACTCCCGTGTAAACTCTTGTTTGTTAACTCTCATGCAACTCTTGTTCTCGTTTGATCAAGCATTGAAAGTTGAGAAAACTCTCATGTAAACTCTCGCTTGTCAATTCTCATGCAACTCTTGTTCTCGTTTGATCAAGCAATGACAGTTGGGAAAACTCTCATGTAAACTCTCGCTTGTCAATTCTCATGTAACTCTTGTTCTCGTTTGATCAAGCAATGACAGTTGGGAAAACTCTCATGTAAACTCTCGCTTGTCAATTCTCATGTAACTCTTGTTCTCGTTTGATCAAGCAATGACAGTTGAGAAAACTCTCATGTAAACTCTCGCTTGTCAATTCTCATGCAACTCTTGTTCTCGTTTGGTCAAGCAATGAAAGTTGAGAAAACTCTCATGTAAACTCTCGCTTGTCAATTCTCATGCAACTCTTGTTCTCGTTTGGTCAAGCAATGAAAGTTGAGAAAACTCTCATGTAAACTCTCGCTTGTCAATTCTCATGCAACTCTTGTTCTCGTTTGGTCAAGCAATGAAAGTTGAGAAAACTCTCATGTAAACTCTCGCTTGTCAATTCTCATGCAACTCTTGTTCTCGTTTGGTCAAGCAATGAAAGTTGAGAAAACTCTCATGTAAACTCTCGCTTGTCAATTCTCATGCAACTCTTGTTCTCGTTTGGTCAAGCAATGAAAGTTGAGAAAACTCTCATGTAAACTCTCGCTTGTCAATTCTCATGCAACTCTTGTTCTCGTTTGGTCAAGCAATGAAAGTTGAGAAAACTCTCATGTAAACTCTCGCTTGTCAATTCTCATGCAACTCTTGTTCTCGTTTGGTCAAGCAATGAAAGTTGAGAAAACTCTCATGTAAACTCTCGCTTGTCAATTCTCATGCAACTCTTGTTCTCGTTTGGTCAAGCAATGAAAGTTGAGAAAACTCTCATGTAAACTGTCGCTTAATTGTCAACTCTCATAAAAAAATTATAGTTAAATGAGCTACGATTACGATACAAATTGAATTTTGAGTGATTGCATTTAATTAAACCTTACTGTGGAGTAGTACTCGTACTATTGCACGGCGGCTGAGCGTTCAATAGTACGTACACGCATAAAAATTAAACGCACAAGTTATTACAGGTCTGCAAACAAGTTGTTACAAATCTGTTCACGAGCTGTCAACAAGCTGTCTTCGCACTGCTTGTTCCCAGTTGTTGTAACAAGTTTGGAACAAGCTGTTCACAACTTGTAACAAGCTTGATGGCATTATCAGACTTGTTACAAGGTGGTTCTAACAAGTCTGATACAGTCATGATATAACAAGAATGTTACAAATTTGACGACACAAGGTTGTAACAATATTGTTATATCATGACTGTATCGGTCTTGTCGGAACACACTTGCAACAAGTCTGATAATATCAACAAGGTTGTTACAAGTTGTTAACAGCTTGTTCCAAACTTGTTGACAACTTGGGACAAGCAGTGCGAACGCAACTTGTTGACGGCTTGTTGGCAGACTTGCTACAAGATGTGAGATTTTTACGCGTGTGCACGTACGCACGTGCGGTAGCAAAAATGGGAATTTTTAATTCCATATCACGTGATCATTATCAACCAATTAAATGACCAGAATTGAATGTTATATAATAGCTGCTCTTAGTGCGATCAAAATCGCGTATGTTAGTGTTATATTAATTTAATTCACTAAAAAATAGTACTTTAATATTTTGTACTATAATAATTCTACTTGAATAATACGTAAATGTTTATTACTTAATTATAATAATGAAAACGTTACTTCATTGTTAATTTGCTAGGCGGTCGTCACTTTTGAATAAAAAGTATTTTGAACAGCTACTTTTTAAAAGATACCCTAAGCAAATGTTTGCTTTTAATATATATGCACTATCTCAAATGATATACATGTTTTAGATTTACCTAAGCAATTAATTGCTTATTTAGCATGATATTTAGCCGTTTAAGTTAATCTATTTATTTCTTAGTATTTCTTTTCACATTAGCTACAATATTAGACGAAGCGCTTGAAAGCACTCATTCAATTATTGCGAATAAATGGAATCGTTGCCTCGACTAGTTTTGTCGAATTTCATCCGCAAAAGCGGTCAAAGCCGCTAATAAAGCGCTTGGTGTAAGTAAATCCGCGTGTTCTCCCCGTATGGCTCCAATTATTCTTCCCGCAGCATTGACAACTACACGCAGGACACCACTCCAGTTACTTTTCAACGTCTCCTTGAGCTGCTCCCACGTACTTCGGTCAGTGGTAGTTTCATGAATTTCTCCCTCAAACATTTGAACCACAATTCTGTTTCTCCGCTTGCCAGACCAGAAACAGAAGGATTTATGTTCACCATAGCACGTGATCTCCAAATCTTTACGAAGCGATTTTCCGGCCTCAGTGACAATCAGACGTGCCTTCTGCATTACATTTCTGCATTTGTCGCACTTGTGTGGGCAATAATCAACGTACTCATTTATTTTTTGATGGGTTACTGCTGGACTACATTTGATTTCTTCAATTTCACGTTTCTAGTAACACAATAGTCAAAGTTTTGTTCAGTATTCAGTAAAATTGAGTGTTCAATTAAGAAAGCTTCGGATTCATAGAGATGCAAGTACCTGAAAACTTTCGAAAGAGTTGCATCCAGCTATCAATCCGAAACTCATTCTTAATATTGATGCTGACACAGACCGTACAGGCGTATTTCATTTACTCCATGAATTAACCTCTCTCAAAAACTCCCCCTGTCTAGATTCTAGATACGTTTTAGCCTGATCGGTCCACAAATTGTGTCGCTGGTGTAGTTATGAAGGAGAACAAGCGCCCCCCTAACATACAATTCACCAACAAAACACGGCTGTGGCCGATTTGTACTTCAGATGCGTCATCTGTTCGAGTATAAACACATGCAAGACTAACCGAAAGGATCTTAAACTGATCTGACGCGAATGATTACATATATATTTCGCTTTCTTGTCCTACCTAATTAGTCAATTAAGTTTGGTAAGGAAACAATAAACGAATAATATAAATTAGCTGTTCGCCAGCCATAATGAAAACGTAGAGATACATATAAATTCACCACAGATCAGTGAAATTACCTTGTTCGACGCTCCGCTCCCCATAGGAAAAACGTGAAGATACGAATAAAAAAACGGCGACGAGAAATGGTTTTGCCGTTTACTTGGGATCACGTTAAAAACTGCGTGCAAATTGGCAAAATCACCTTATTATAACCGTCAGCGATTGTTTGTTTTTAGTTATATAACATAATTTGCATTGTCATGGTTAATTTGTCATCATTTGAAACGTTTCTAAATTTTTTGCCAAGATATCTGTCAAACCTATAGTTTTGAATACACACCAGCTAACGAAAGCTGGCAAATGCCACGCCGGCAAACGGTGTTGGTTACGGTTTTGTTTAGAAATCAAGAAAATAAGCATGAAGCAATCACATATTAATCCACCAGAAATTCCATTCCATTTGTTTTGAATTTTTAAAGAATTGTTTTGAACACTGTTTATTATCACTTTCAGTTTAAAAGGTGTCGGAAATTTGCTTGTATAAATGTTGGAAAAAGATATCATTTTGTCGGAAATTTGCTTGTAATGTTTGAAAAAATTATATATTTTTTTCAAGCATTACAAGCAAATTTCCGACACCTTTTAAACCGAAAGTGATAATAAACTGTGTTCAAAAATTCTTTAAAAATTCAAGGAATTCAAAACAAATGGAATGGAATTTTCTCATGGAAATTTCCGGTGGATTATGTGATTGCTTCAATGATTGCGACATTGCGTCAATGGCATGTTTGGGCTTGCTTTGGTAAGAATTAGAAGGAAAATCAGGTACATCCCTTGAAGGACTCAAATTGGAGCAACTACTTCTACTGAAGAAGGGCAATATACTGTGCAGGTATATTACAAGACTATAAACTATACTTGATAAATGAATAACAGGACCCCCCAACGTTAATTCCTGCAGACAAAGGACAAAAGCTTCGAATTTATATTTTTCCAGCATTCCCTTAAGTATATATCGTTTGTCGCGACGCTACTCCTACATCAGAACCACACATTCAATATATATTTTAAAACTTACATTTACAAAAATTTCATGCTATATGCATGTTCATAATCTATATATACACGTAAGAACGCACAAGTCAGTGTAACAAACTTGCGGCAGACTTCTAACAATGCTGTTCCAACAACTTGTCAACAGGATGTGTTCGCACTGCTTGTTCCCAGCTTGTTGACAAGTTGTCAACGACTTGTTGATTGCGACAAGGTTGTTGAGCTCAACAGACTTGTTACAAGTTGTCGAAATTGAACAGCAGCATTGTTACGACTTGTTTGACGCACTTGCTACAAGCTTGGCGAACACATCTTGTTGACAAGTTGTGAGATTTTTACGTATGTAGTTTACTGGGTGGGACACATCGGGGATCGGTTGAAGCTATAATGGTATTCATATTGGTGTCGAACGCACATCAAAATGGCGCGTTCTGCCAGCGTCGTAATAAAATTGCAGTTGCATGAATAATAACATGTAGGCCTATAGCTGAGACTGGCTGCATTGAATATATCATTGAATATGTGCTCTTCAATGGAGACGTGCACCTATGCTAGTGAATTAATTTCTAATAAATAAGTATCAAAATATTTACAAAAGTTACAGACTATACGCATGCAAAGAAACAAATATAATACAATAATTAAGAAATTTTAGATTTAAACTCAACAAGAGATTGAACTCTAGCGGATTTCAACGGGTATATATGTCGTCCCATAGGGTATAGCCCCTCTATAAGTAAAGCTTTTCTTCAAGGATTTAGTTAAGGGTCTTTGAGCAAAAAGTTTATGATTGGAGCCTCGCAAATTGTGCTCGCGAAGTATATTCCTTTGCGTCGCCGTTATTTTGCCTCGCCGTTCTTAAATTGAAAGCCTGTGCCTGTGGAATCAGGGTAGCGTGAACCGATTTTTTGAACAACTTGATTATAGTCGCACTCTTAATAAGTCAATTTAGTACTGTTCGTTTGTGGCTATATGAACCACAAATGATTGAACATGCAGTCAAAACTTTCACAATAGCCGAATTCATATTAGAAGACGGATTTCCGTCTAAGACGGGAAACTCGTCTTGATATAAATTCGGTAAACGACGGGTTTTCCGTCTCAACTTTTCCGTCTAACTTTCCCGTCTGAACGACGGCAAAGTTAGACGAGTTTCTCGTCTTAGACGGAAATCCGTCTTAAATCCGTCTTAAATTTATATCAGACGAATAAATCAAGACGGGTTTCTGCTCGTAACGTTCAAAAGAGACTGGGATGGAGGGTCTCCTATTTTTTCGGGTTTATCCGTCCGATGGTTTTCGTTTCATACTTATACCAGACGGAAATCCGTCACACGAGTTTCCCGTCTTAGACGGAAATCCGTCTTCTAATATGAATTCAGCTATTATACAGTTTCAGCTGAACGGTTATGATTGATCAACTTTAGTAAATTCCACAGATGCAGCCGATTGACTCTAAGTGAAAGAGGAATATATTATATGCATTATGGGTCATCACTATTGGCACTGTACCCTGTGTGCAGGACAATTGTCTGCTGTATAATTGTACTGTGCATGATACATCACGCTCAATGACGAGTGTTTTACGAATAACGCTCAATGACAGCATTTT